GTCGATAGGGAAAGAGTAACTGGAATATGACACTTCGAATCCATAAAGAAACACTCAATAACTAATAATGTTAGAACAACTGGTCATTCAGTTCATCATTCTGCAAACTTTCAGAAATTAGTTGTAGGATATGGATGTCACTGGCTGGACCAGCATTTATTAGCACCCCTCATTGCGCTTTTGAGAAGATGGTGGTGAACTGCCTTCTTGAACCACTGCAGTAGATGTGCTATAGATTGACCCACAAGGGAATTCCAGGACTTTGACCCAGCAACAATGTGGAAATGGCAATATATTTCCAAGTCAGGAATGTGAGTGGCTTGGACGGGGACTTGCAGGTGATGGTGCTGCCCTTGAGCTTCGAGTTGGTGGTTGATTGTGAAAGTACTATTTAACAAGCCTTGGTGAATTTCTACAGTGCATCTTGTAGATGGTGCAAATTACAGCTACTGAATATCAATGGTGGATGGTGTGAATGTTTATGAATGTTTTGCCAATCTAGAGGTTTGCTTTATCTTGGATGGTGTCAAGTGGGGAATATTCCACCACATTCCTCACTTGTGCCTTGTAGATGGTGTACAGGTTTTGGGAAGTCAGGAGGTGCATTATTTGTTCCAGAATTCCCAGTCTCTGACCTGCTCCTGTAGCCACAGTATTTATATGGCTAGTCCTCAGATAACCTCCAGGATGTTGATTCTTGGCAACTGGATGATTTATATCATCGGAGAACAATCTGAGGGGTCATTTTGAGTTTAATGCTCACCTGGCAGAGATGTGGATGCAGGATCTGGTATAGAGCAGGAACAAAAGGATTTGCACAATCAGCTGAGCTCATTCATTCTAAAGGCAGCAAGCAGTGTTAATCCAATGATTCCATGGCAAATTCATGTTATTGTCCATTTCCCAATGTGTGAGAAAGAGAAAGAGACTCACACACACACAGTGAACCAACAGTGTTGCTGCTCCAAACTCTGTGAATGCAAGATGATTTTGTAAAACTCGGTTCACGTTCTGCCAACTATTGAGCAGTCATTAACAGTTTTCTGTGGACCATTCAGTCTTTCACCACTTTGTTCTGTTCCATATCACTGTCAGCTTTCTTTTTTATAGGCAGTTTCTGGAAATGCTCTTATCATTGAAACATGTCCTATCATGTTCTGTTTATTTTATCCTGGATATCTGACTTCAGCCAATAATTAAACACCAAGATTGGAGACAGTAACTAAGCGTTGACATTGGAAGTCAGAGCAGGTACCTGCTGACTTAAATTTGCCACTTGCTTCAAAGGACCTCCATGTTGGACACCCAGCACCAACATCCCAAGTCCACACGTCCCAGAACAATGGCATTGGACATGGGCCAGCCACTACCATCCATCACAGCACATCAGGATTCACTTATGCTACACTTCTACACTTCAATGCAGCATCTACAGTTTTTATTGCAATGGTGCAGCAAGGATACTATGCACTCAGAGACACACACCCATCTTATGGACTGGACCAGGCTGTATCTCTGGCCTGTTCGCATGCTTTGAGCCTACCAGGATTTTCACAGCATTCTCTTGTCTTTTTGCCCCGTCTGGCTTTTCCCCCCTCAGTCAAGAGACACCAAGGCTCACAGTACCACTTTATTTGCCTTCTGTTTTAGCACAGACGCAAAGCCAGAAAACTTGTCAAGATTGTTTACAATTCTCAGTCAATCAAGGCAGGTGGCCTTCAGTCAGGGGGCTGTGAGCAGTAAATCAAGTGCAGCCTCCAATACCAATTCAGGGGCTTGGACATGGCCAGTCAGCTTGGGGCGGTCAGGGTCAGGATGCTCTCCACCTAAGGGGTGAGGACCCAACTGCCACAAAGCACTCCATTGGCTGTAAACCGCCTTCAGAATCGTTGTATTTGTGAAAGTTGATACATACATACAAGCCATTCTTCCTTTCTTTGGGAAACATTATGCTTCCTGTGAACTAGAAATTCTAAACTATTACTGGAGGAAGTATTGGTCCACAGAAACATTGACCAACAGATTGTGTACAGGATTCTTACTGTGGGATCCTAAGAATACTGCATAAGAACACACCATGTTGACAAATTGCTAGTTTAAGTGAAACTAAAAAGTGAATTTATTAGTTTTGTTTTGTAATATTGTACAGAAGATTGAAAAAACAGCAGACAAGCGTTACACTACTTAACTTTAGGCAAACTGTCAATCAAACAAAATAACAAAGCATTTGAAAATGAATCAAGATCTTTCCCAGGTTATGAAATGAATCTTGGAGGAGCATAAGTTGAATGTGTCACGCTGTATTATATCGAGGCTGAGGGAACGAAGGTCTGTATGACTCTCACCCTGCTCCCTCACCATACTAGTCTTCCCAGAGAGGAGGATACAAACATTCTCCGTTGTATTAGTTAAAACACATGCCCCCTCGTCCTCACGTACCACCCCACCAACCTCCGGATCCAACGCATCATCCTCCGACACTTCCGCCATCTGCAATCCAACCCCACCACCAAAGACATCTTTCCCTCCCCACCCTTATCTGCTTTCCGGAGGGACAACTCTCTCCGTGACTCCCTTGTCCGCTCCACACTCCCCTCCAGCTCCACCACACCCGGCACTTTTCCCTGCAACCGCAGGAAGTGCTACACCTGCCCCCATACCTCCTCCCTCACCCCCATCCCAGGCCCCAAGAAGACTTTCCACATCAAGCAGATGTTCACCTGCACATCTGCCAATGTGGTATACTGCATCCGCTGTACCCGGTGTGGCTTCCTCTACATCGGGGAAACCAAGCGGAGACTCGGGGACCGCTTTGCAGAACACCTACGCTCGGTTCGCAATAAACAACTGCACCTCCCAGTCGCAAACCATTTCAACTCCCCCTCCCATTCCTCAGACGACATGTCCATCCTGGGCCTCCTGCAGTGCCACAATGATGCCACCCGAAGGTTGCAAGAACAGCAACTCATATTCCGCTTGGGAACCCTGCAGCCCAATGGTATCAATGTGGATTTCACAAGTTTCAAAATCTCCCCTCCCCCCACCACATCCCAAAACCAGTCCAGCTCGTCCCTGCCTCCCTAACCTGTTCTTCCTCCCACCTATCCCCTCCTCCCACCTCAAGCCGCACCTCCATCTCCTACCGACCAACCTCATCCCGCCCCC